GGTCAAGGGCGTGGAGTTATCCCTAGCGGAAACATGTATGGACAAGGAGTCCCAAACACAGGCTTACTAGTATATAAGCAGTAGTGTAGTATCATTGTACTTTAGTTCCGATCTCGTTTATACACCTGGCCTAGCCTAGTCTTACAAACGCGAACGCTTTCTTCCTTAGTTCTTGCTGTGGTACCTGGTTTAGTCTTGTGGCTTTAGTCAGTCGCTAACAACAAGCATACAGACAAGGACAGCAAGACACAACAAGGATGCAAGTCCAACAAGGACACGGACACGGACAAGCACACAAGCACAGCAAGAATAGAGACAGTGATGCAACTCCAGTCAATTGATACCCATAGACATCAACCACTGCCGGCAACAATAGATAGCAACAACAACTTCAAGCAACTCGCCGGGCAGCAATGACAAGCACTTTTATACCAGTACATGTAGTAGGGTATATATGATTATTTTCAACTGCCTACAACAGTCACCCATTCCCGACGGTTTCGAAGTGTGTTATGTGTTATGGCACATGTGAATTAGTGGTTGCAACAGTACAGTACCGGCGCGTCAACCTGTAGTCTGCATGATCCGTCCACATCAGTTGTTTGGGATAAGTACATGGACCATGACTGCACTGCAAATATTGTAGTTGGGGAGGCAGCCAATGTGTTCTACCCAAGACCATTTGTCGCCAAAAAACCAAAGTTTTGACAACTGAAGGGAGTTTACGTGTTGCAGAGTATTGGCATCTGTGATTTAAGGCCATCCTGACTGGTTCAAACAATGACAGCACACAATGAGTCAACGAAGGGGATGACAGTGCACGCTGAGTAAACCATGTGCGGCTTATTCATCAGTGATCGAAAATTCTCCTAGAGAAACAAACACAAAGGTTTGTTAACCAACTCCATGGCGGTCCTACTTGACCTTCCTGCGGAGGTGCTTTCCCTCATACTTGGAAATCTCCATGACGAGAACGTCTCTCTCGGAAGCGTCTCCTTAACCGGCAATTGGGCGCTGACTGCCGTAGCGCAAAACCTCATGCTGCACGACTTGCACATCTGCGTCAAGTTTCCAATCCACAACAGCCACCACTTTCATCCCACTTTCAGACACATTTGAAAAGACACCCGCCCTGCTTAATGGTGTGCGCTCCATCACATTCAAATGTCGCTCCAACCTAGCCAATCTCGATCTTATGGACCTCCTCCAGAAATACTTGGGGAAGCTAAAGAGTGTGACACACGTCCACATTATCTGCAGCTCTCATTCTCTTGCCCCAAATTTGAGTTACAATGCCTGCCTTACACCTACTCTGCTCATCTTGGTCTTGCGCCTTCCCGCATTACACACCTTGGTCGTGAACAATTGCTTGATAGACCATCACATTATCCCAGACTCCCTGCGCTCTTGTAGCCTCCGCATCCTCGTCCTAAACACATCTACATCCGCACAACCACGATATTACGCCCCCGACGTGCCGCTACCCTCTCCTCTCCAGTATGCGCCCGCAGTGACCGCAATAGAGATGCGGGGTACAGAGTATCAATCTGGTTTATCTGCAGGCCTTGAGTCGTGCCTCTTTGCTGTACTCCAGAGCATAGTTATGGGCCCGAAGAACAACATTCACTCTCGTCAGCCGCGGAGGCTCCATCTCGTGTGTGACTGCCAGCATTTGTGTTGTCTCTTACGCAATGTAATCATGCATCTCTCCATACGCCAGCATACTTATCTCTGTAATAGTCCTAACTTTTTGCCCTTAGATTGCCCTTGAATCGTTCAAAGTGGAAGAGATTGTTTTCAAAAAACTTGTTACAAGTGATGCAGTGCACACGGCTTTTTTGGCGCTTTCAGTAGCGGGTTGTGGAGTTCTTAAGAGGCTGTCTTTCAAATTGGGATGTCAAACTATGGCAATGATACAGTGTTTCTCTGCAAAGCACTGCAGCGCCTCTCCAAGCTGGAGGAGGTGACTCTCGAGTGCGACGGTACTGATGTGCGTATGGGTTAATACACACCTCCCCAAATTGAGCTTAACCATGAATTCTTGTAGGAGGCCTTTATTGCTTGTATTGCTGCGCATCCCTCCCTGTGATGCGTCTATTTCCTTGTAGCACCGCCAAACGATATGGACATACTAGATCTCGCACCGCGTATTGCTGGGCGCGCGCGTCAACTCACGCCCATTGCGTGGGAGCCTGTGAATGTCATGGCACAGATACATGGTGATCATACCGTTGAGATGAAGGTGTACGAGGAGCCTAGATGGTTACAATTTGGAGGTGATGATACAAAGTGGTAGAAGGAATGTTGGTTCTAGTACATCGACAATTAAGAATGACCGGTTCTGGTTTTATCCTGTGTAATTCAAAACGTGACGAGATGATCAACAGATGAAAGAACTGTTGCAATGGGTGTTGAGGCGTCAAGACACATTTCAGTTTCTCATAAGAGAGATTATAGGTTTTGTAACCAATCCGTAGGTGTATAATTTCACCGGCACAGACGAAACGTGTATGTTCACACGTTGTAGTGGTTTGTGATTGCGCCATGGTGCACGACAAAGACATTCAAACCGTTACCTGAGGAGCATGACCTTACCTTGTTCTGAGGGGCGCGGGTTGAGGTCCTGGAAAAGATGGTTTTAACCTAAATATTTTCTGTCAGGTCATCGAGCAGCGAGGGTTGCACAGTCACAGGCAGGCAAGGAAACACGGCGTCCGCGAGACAGTCAGCAAAATTATATGCGGGGGCAGAGAGCAAAATGGTTAAAGCTGAAGGTTCTGCTGGTTGGTGTCGTAACATGACGGCGCGTGATCTAAGAGGGATACAAAGGTAGCACTATAATCACTTCTAGGCAGACTAATAATATCAACCTCCACACTCGTCCAGGATCGCGTATGCTGTGCCGGTCCGAGCACAGAGATCAGTATCATTGTGTCCGCGGCATCAATAGCATTCCTTGGCTTCCTCTTACTCTCATCATGTCCACCTCATCCTTGAACGACATGTCCTCCACGGAAGACGTTGATCGGTATACCACTTGCGATGAATTCACCTGACGCTGCGCAAATCCGACTACCAGTCCTACATTTCTGAAGGCACGGCGGAGTTGAGGACGGGGAGCCTGAGATTCTGCGATGGAACTATGCAGATAGAAATGGGATCCATTTCAAGCAAGGTATGCCATCGACATTCGTGCCTTGGTGTGAACCTCTCAGACTCGTGTTCAGCCACGTGGCACAGCCCACCGAATGGATCACATGGGAGGAGTTTGTACAACCTTTTAAATTTGTTGCAGTGCGCACCCAACCTTCAAGAGAGGGTCCTCGATGCTTTGGCTGTACTTTCTGAGACTGTAGGTGGAGTAGCAAGACAGTGGTATGACTTGCATGAATACCGTGAAAGGCATGATTCGGACGCAGTGAGTCTAAACCACATGAAGTTGATATATATTATCAGTCTGATTTGTAGCCATAGAATTTTTTCTTTGACCTTCAGGTGTTGGTCATTCTCATCATGTCCAACAAAGGAGCTTGGATTGATACCTTCTGGTGGGGAACCTGTTTACTCTATAGTCCCAGTCGAGGAATGTACCATCACTCCTTCGTCTACAGTTTGTTCAAGGGAAGAATTCTATTTGATGACTCGCTGGATAGACCGTCGGAGGATCTTGCAGAAGTCATGCGCATGACCCTGCCTTACTTTGGGGAGATGAAGGCTCGCCTTGACACGCTGTCGCACAGTGTTGGCTACTTCCTCCGGTTCCGCATCGATTCTCGTGCCGTCAAACCTGGCAAACCTCATTACTTGCCTCGACATCGCGGAGAGTGTCGCAAAACTGGTTCCAATCTTTGGAGACGTGCTGGAGGGCGTTTGTGGATCCTGTGGAAGACTATCGAAGCTGCAGAGGTGAATACTCTTCCATATTGCACGCATTGTTGTCGGATTGATGTCTTTTTAGAAGGCTCGTGCTGCACGCGACGAATGCCGGGCTCTAGCAGAGCACACAGCTTCCATAACACTTGCCATCTTACACGAGATTGTTCCTGCATCTACGCTCAACAATGGTGATTTAAACCGGATTTGTAACCTTTGTGAGTACGTCAATGTCTCTCCTACATCGAGTCACGCTGACTCACTTTGATTATAGAACCATCAAGATCGTGGACTCCCGAGTCCAGAGTCTCTCGAAACTCGGGCGTACCAAGTACCTATTCAATCGCGGCAGGATCGACGCCGAGGTCATGGATCTACGCATCCAAGTGGACAACACCCAAACCGCGTTCAATGTATACTTACTCCATCTTCATTTGTACCGCTGCTTGTGACTTGATTAGATTCACAGCGACATATTAGCAACACAATTACTCACCAACCTGAGAAACATGCAGATACGTCTCGCATCGTGTGTTGAGGATATATATGACGGTCAAAAGACGACTAAACATCACATGTTGTGCATACTTCTAGTCAAGGTCAGTATTGAAATCTACAGCCGGGTCGATACTCACTGTCCTGTTGTAGGTGGAAGGCTATAGAAGTGGAGGCGCGTATATTGATGAGGCAGACTGATAAGGACTCGAATTTTATATAGACTGAGTGTCGTGACAATGAGGGATTGCAAGTCTACCGTACGATGTCCATAGGACGATGGTGCTAGTCCTATTCAGTTTTGGGGGGTCTGACAACGTTGCTCCTGCTCGCGTGGGTATCAGTTGACCAAGTACTGACAGGCAGGTCGAGCGGCAGCGTCGTCTACTTACTGTGTCGTCCTCCGCATTGTTGTCAGAAAACTCTTCACCGATGATACACGTACACCATACGACACTGTTTCTGTAGAACCCGAGGAGATGTCCGGGCTGTGTGTGCCCTTTCCGCATGACCTTTCCTTGTCGGCCGTTGTGAATATTTGTAAGATACAAGTTCCCTATGAATGGTCCACTCAGAGAAGAGTTTCATGCATTGTCTGACTTGGGTTTTACGCCACACAGTAGGTCTCACCAGGGCACATGGTGTAGTTGGTTTATCACGCCCGCTTAGCATGCAGGAGGTGTTGGGTTCAATCCCAGTGAAAAGAGGGTCGATGCAGGTCGCAGCCGATCGAAGCAGGTCGCACCCAATATGAGGTAAATCAATGATTTATCGAGGTGCCTTGACGAGAGAGCATACATCGATATGGTTGACGCTTGTCGAGACATTTTGGAGCAACTATCAAGGCATATCGACGAAATTATGTTTGCTTAGGATTTCCATTCAATTCTGGCTTCGATGCCAATTGAGGTCTATCGATGTAGTTGTCATGGCATATCGAGACATGTTTTTGGCACCCTGACGAATACATATATCTCGTAAAAAGAACCTGCACCGATAACCACGCCACTACTCCCACTGAACACTGCTTCTCGCACAGATGATATCAACCAGATCCTTCTATCCCGCTATCGATGTTGTTCTCATGGTGTGCCGGCTCATCGACATTGACTGACTTCCCCTTGCTTGCCACATGTGCTTTCCAGTCTTTATTGAAGTCCGCCTATTTGCCCGTGCCGCCGTGTTTATCGTACCATGCACAAGAAAATTCACCTCTAATAGAGTAGTAGTTAGCATCAGCATAGTTTAAAGCAAGATAACTCTTACTTTGCACTGTGTGTTGTTAGTGGTACCATCAACTTTCCTGAGCGCTTCTTCTTGGTTGAGGCTACCTTATTTCCAGAAGCTGCAGACAGCGCAACTGCGGTAACGATTACAGGCCTTGCAGTTGGTGCGACATCAGATGCCAACTTTGGGAGTGGCTTCGCTGGTGGGTTGCCGATAGCCTTGAGAGGAGCCGGTAACGGGATTGATGAGGCCGAGGCAACACTGGTATGGACAGGAGCAGCCACGGGCACTGCGGATTTCATAGATCTCGGCATCTTGTTGTCAACTACTGCATCCTGGTCTTGTACTTCTGGTCGTACTACCGTGTCTGAGTCTCGTTCTGCGAAAGATGTAGTTGGCTTGTCTATATTGATATCAGGCAATGCGGGTGGGGTGACTGGTGTCTCTGGATCATCTGTTGAAGGAGGCGACACCGCCGGCTGTGGTCTTGAGCTTTTGACCGACCTAGATGATTCAAAGTCACATTTAACTCAGAGAAAACAGAAGATAAGAAGACATACAGCACGCTCTTGAACTTTCCCTTTTGATTTAACTTCGGAGGAACTGATTTGGATGCGGAAACAACCTCGGGATGTTTGGACGGCGATTTGGGCGGAGGCTCCACCGAGCTGGAGGTCACGATATTAGGAGTTGGACTGACTGAAGCCGTGTCAGCCGTAGCGGCCGTCGCGCTAGCTGTAGCAGGCACTGCCATCTGTATATATTTGTCAGTGCAAGGCTAAGAGAACGTAACGTGCATACCTCGGTGGAATCCATATCCACCTCCATCATAGGCTTGATATCTTCCGTCTTGCAGCGCTTAGAACGGCCGCTGTCATCTTCCGGCTCAAGAGCGCTGCTACTAGCGGCAGTGTTACGTTCGCAAGCCCGTTTTGTCTTGTGTGCACCGGGAAAGGTGGTTGTATGCCAGGATGTATGTAGGTTGGTTATCAGCTGGCTTGCCTTCCAATTATTATGGCAGAAGCGAGCCTCCTCTACCTCGCTGTTCAGAGTGTAGAAAAAATACCGTTTCGCATCAATGTTATAATCCGACCAAGAATCTCGCGTACAGTGATCAGAATTTCCTTGCACCTGCAACTCGAGAGTGGTGCTCCATTGGCGTCCTTGAAGTATGGGATGAACGGCTTTTCGTCCGAGGTGGGCGCAGTTCCGACAGTGAGAGCGCGGGAATATGAGGTCTTGTGCCACTAATTGCACTGGTAATCGTCTTCTTGAAGGGGAGCCAGTGGTGGGCCTACAACAAGTGATTGACGTGCTGCTGCGGCATTCAAATGGGTGGTGTTGGTGCAATGAGGGCAGATTGATGGCGCAATGAGTCCGGGTCAATCTTGATATCGGGCCCAGAGGAGCCGACCTGTTTCGTGAGGATGGAAAGAATGGTCTCGTAATGAGATCTGTAAATTGTGTCAAGACAAAAACATGGGAAGGCTGTTGCGCAACAACGCACTTTGTGACGGCAAGCTCGGTTTCTAAACGTGCACATTGTATCCGCAGTTGAACATTCTCAGTCCGTAGCTGGTGAACTTCCTCAAGCTGCGATACGCGACTCGAAGGGCCTCCACTCGAGAAACGCGGCAAACCCTCCGAGTGTCCTAAGGGACTACTGCCCCAGCTGCTACTGCGAGAGTGCATGGAACCCAATGCAGGAGAGCCTCTTCCAATGCTTTGCGACCTAAAGCTAGAGGAAGAAGGAGCTGGAGAACGGGACATGCTTCGAGTATGTGAAAAGAGACCAGAATTAGTAGCAGGGTAAGGGAAAGAACTTGACATATTATCATCAGAGTCATTAAGACTGATTCCAAAGTTATCTAGGCCGGCGAGGCTATCGGAATCCGACTTGTTCAGGTCGTGAGTATGAGGAAGGGAAAGCTGGGGATAGAACATGTCGTCCATACTATGGTTCGAGGTAGAGTTGAACGTAGCTTACATAAACTTGTGTGATATAATGACATGCACATATTCTACTCTTCATCTAAGTCTTCAATGAATCCCAGTCGCTCCATTAATGCCATTCCCGGACAATGTGTAACATACCACCAATTTTTTTCAGATCCATCGTGATGTGTTGTGGCGTACTGATGATCAGGCGCTACAAGAACGATTGTCTTGATGTTCTTAACCGGAATACAGACAATCCCCTGGTTGCCAAGATGCTGAGCGGACCAATATATATTTGAGGACTCCTTCAAGAGATCTGTATCTGACATGCCAAGCAGAGCAAGAAGAGCAACAGTTTTGATATCACCATTGCAGCGCAACCGAGTGAAGTAAAGCACTTCTCCAATGCGCTCTTCGTCGTCAATGATACACTATGATGAGATCAACATTACGGTCCTATAGATAATATGAAGGCAGATTATACCTTAACACATCGTGCACGTCGTACCCCTCGGGTAGTTGGCTGAGCTTCTTTCCATAGTGTTCATGCGATATATCCAGAAGGCAAGCGTAAATGTGCCCATCTCTGTACCTTTCTCCACCGAATATCATTGCTGTCGCCTCCTTCCTGTGTTACCCATTTTTGGATCGCCTCCAATTCTGATAGCCGTACAGCACGCTCGCAGTTGTCCTTAGCTCCTAGAAGTACATATCCATCGTGGAGATCAAGACCTCCTCAGAAATGACAACTTCAGGCTCTCTCAAATCGGAAATGAGTGCTTCAAGTGCGTTCACATGACAGCGACGTACACCTCGCTGCTCGAAGTTGGAAAACATGTTTGATGGCTGTCGCAATTCGAGTCCAAGACTGCCAATCATGCGCTCGATAGCCCATTGAGCGTAGACGGTACCAGGACCAATACGCTCCGTTTCACGGGGGAAGTGGGTCATTGTATGAATGCATGGTCGAACAAAATGTATGTGATCCTCTCGACGCTGATAGTAGAGCTCCTCATATTCATCAGAGAATTCAACAAGTAGTTGATATGATTCCGTCAGATCCTCGCGTGGTATTACTAGCTGCATGAGCAAGAGGAACCCCCGTGCACACTTGCAGTAGTTACGCCAATAAGGCATCGGAAGAATGCCGTAGAGAAGTGCAGGTCCCATGCAGAAGAAGTAGAGGAGGTATTCCCATGCTTTATATCCACTGTTAATCTTTTCGGCTGGATTGCGAGGAGGATGATCAAATGAACCAGGTATATATTGGAGCGTATCAGCAACAGCTTGGCCGTGCTGCTTCCAGACATCGCCTTTGAGAACTGCCCATGGCCAAAGACTTGGATCATCGGTGACAGCATGGGCGAACATACCGCGCCAGAGTGGTATCAGAAGATCCGGGATATTCAAGCAGGGTAAATGCATGATGTTGAGAGGGAACATGCGTGGGATTCCCAAGATATGCTCTCGGGGAAGCCCACTGAAAATGGTTGGCTTACAGATGCCCGTATTCAGACGATTTGCCTGAAACTCAGCTTGATCTCTGGAGTTCATGACCTTTCTGAGATCGCGCCAATAACTTTTCTCTGCCTCCTCTGGCTCGAAATCATCAAGAAGTTCTGGCAGATCAACATCGTCATGGTCGCACCCGGCAACATTGTAGTCGCCATCAGGTTTTAAGCGTGCGGGATAGTACTGGGAGGCACCTTCCTTCCGTCGGCCAACAATAGGACATCGCAGTCAACAGTGTATTTTACCTTAATGGCCAACAGTACCGCTGATTGCGGCCATCGCTGGTCCATCGGCGGTAACAAGGGCAAGAAAGGGATGGGAAATGAAAGTCTCGTTGCGATCCGCTCTCCAAATCTTGAGTCCGTCGCGCTGGAGCGCGGAAAGATGAAACAAGCCAGGAAAGAGGAAGCTATCTAGATTCTTCGGTTTGTGTGGTCCCGGAATAAATCCGCTGGGAAGAACATGTCTCTTTTTATAGCGTACATTCGGGTCATGGTCAAATATGATCCAAATGTAAACACAACACTCCGAAACCTTGCTTCGATAAAGCTGAGCGCCATCAATAGAAAGAACAAGTATCATGTCCTCATCTTTGATACGCCCCTCTTGAACAGCATTGAGATAATCAAGCCCATCGAAGAAGTCTGTCAGTGGCGTGTCAAATCCATCATCTGATCCCAGTTCCTCTAGGATACGACATGTATAATCAAGTCAATACTGAAGGGCACATGCGCCCTCGGGAGTACGCCAAAGGGCTTGGAGCTGTGGTGCGAGAAGGAGGGTAATGAAGCGCTTCCGAGGTATTTTGGTACCTGGATGATATCGCTGCTCACTGCAGACAGGGCACAGTAGCGCCTCTCTGAGCGGTCCAGTGAAACCCACACAGGATTTGGGACACATGTCCCGGTATACAGGCGTGATGCCGGTGAGACTGCTGATCTGCTTCTTCACTTCGTAGAAGCTGAGGACACGACAAGAAGGAAAGCGACGGAGAATGGCACGGCAAGCAGCGGTGTATGTAGCCTCTGA